TCAGTGGCGTTCTTGTTGTCAGTTTCTGTCCAGATTGCCTGAATGAATGTCTGGAGGTGTAGGCACCTCGGAATGATTGTGTTAAGCTAGTACTAAGTCCCTCCCCCATCCACCTTTATTCTTTTCTTTGCAATAAGGCTTTCAAATAAGTCGTGGTTGTACGGCAGTGAAGCATTGGTGTTGAGCACTGATATCATGCTGTCGTTGATGATGATGATGCTTATTTAATTTAAATGTTCGTTTTGAAGCAGATTTCAATACACAAATGAAGCATGTAATCTTAGCATCAGAGTCTGTTTATTACCAACAGTTGTGCAAGAAAAGGAACGAGCACCAGAAATTGGTTTGGAAAATGTAGACTCTGTGATTTCATAGATTCCCTACAGAATGACAGCATCGGCTAATCACGGGAAAACACTTTAAGTGATCGAGTTTGATCATAATCAACAAAGTTATAAGAATATATTGTTTGGATATACTTTACTCCAATAAACTGGATACCTCAGGATTATAGGCGTCAGAGAATCCTACCTTCTGGGATGTTCGCCTGTGTGACAAAACAGCTAATGAATGTCTGGGGTCGACAGGATTCCCCGTGATGAAGAGGTTCGTGATAACAGACTGACAGCTAGATCAGTGATTTTTTCCCTTGTATTTTGCTGTGCCTCTCATATCACAGGTAGAGGACGGTCTGTTTAATCCATTCGAGTGCAACTGCAGATGACATGTCGCAAGGGTGATGGACCCTCATGGAGGGCTAGCCCGAACTGCCAGCCTGTTTGGTATGAGTTACTCTAAGTTGAGCGGCTTAGTCGTTTTCTATTTAATGTTCTGTTTATTGATAAACCTCTTACTTTTTGAACAAAAGACTAGGATAGATTCTAGCTATTAGATGGTCAGTTACGCCACAGTAGTCAGCTGTTCTCTAGAAGGTTTCGTTCTACAAAGAATCCGCTGTGCGGTTCATCGGTGGTTGAAATATTTGGTGAGTTTTTAGACGGGGTAGTGATGAACAGATCACTTATGCCCATGAAATTTCGCGTCATGACTTTCATATGTTAAAAGAAATCCTATTCAGGCGACATTGAGATGCTGCTGAGGTAATTACAGAGTTTATTGTCTGCCAATCCGCTTCTGAATGTACAAATATGGCATTGTGATCCGCACAAGCATGGTTCGAATATTTAGATCGTGTAGGTTTCACTTGACATGAAGTGTTTTGATCTGGAACGTTTAATAATGATCAGAAGTAGGAACCAAAAGTATAAACGTAGAATGTTTAAATACAACGCGTTTGTCATTAATAATACATGGCTCAACGATAAGAAAGTGCCCGCAGCTGATCAAATACTTTCATGTATTTGGTCGGATATATTTCAGACTCGTCCGATTAGGGAATCGGAAGGAAGTATTCTTCACAACGGGGATGCCTAGCGCCGACTGCAATCAGATCACACACTGGCGCGTTCCAAAGGACGGTTCACCCCTGAGCAGCATGGCCCTGGTGGACGGAGCATATGTTCACCAAGGCTGAACATCAGACAGCTGTTTGTTTCGGGAGATTGTGACTCTAAACGTGTCGCACCAAATGAGGGCATAACAATGCAAATTACATCGGATTAAGACTAACAGTGGCAGTGGGCCTGCCATGATAAAAACAACAGCCGGAGAACGGGAGATTTATAGCGCGCCTGTAATCAAGAATGGTGCAGCGTTTACCGCGAGCGAATGAAATCCTTCAGATCTTCCCAATTCAAGAACCAGACACCTGAATTTTCCAAACCGATGGAAGAATGAAGTCCAGTCGTTGTTGATCACTTAGACTAAACTATGAACCGATATTGAGCTATCACTATCACGCACACATGACAGTGGATTGGGTAAAAAAATTATCACATGCCGAGCCAAACCGCCTGATTGGAGGGCGCAATTCTCATCACACCCATGGAATTTGCTGTGGTTGTCTTAACACCCTGTGGGGATACATGTTCATGGTCCATTAAAAATAATCTCAATTCGGGAAGCGATTAATAATCCACAAACCTGACCGCCTACAGAGGAAGGCAAAATACTTAGCTATTTGTTGAAGTAGAATTGTAAACTATTACGAGTCGACGCCTTTCTGCCAACCTGCACACTTCCCGAAGATCGAAATTTCTCACAACAGCTCAAGGACACACAGTCACATCACTGTTCGTGAGAAATGGAGGCTGATGTATGATGTCCACTGTAGAGGAAACAGTTTTATCGAAACTGCGAAGAAAATCATGCAAGGCAGTCTCCTGACTTGTCGGACACTCATATTTCGAAAGATCACTGGGTGGCAGTGCGGGTATCAGAACAAACACAGGACGATTGACCTTATGTTTTTAGCCAGCTGGCTACGAGAAAAATGCCTGGACAGAGTATTATATCATCTGATCGTGGATTTCACGAAAGGTTTAGGCTCAGATAGGCGTTATACATAGTTCTTCAAATAGCTATGCTATTCCGAAGGAAGTACCATCATTTTCAGATCGCTGCAGACTGGTAATAAAGCTGTTGTATGCGTCTGTACCTCTGCCGCATGTATAAATGACAGTTGATATCGAAATGCTCTATCTGAGTTCTGTAGCGTTTACTGCATTCAGTCGACTATGCAGTGGTTTCGGAGCAGTCGCCCTCCGACAGTGGGCGTTATCCTCACACTGCTGTAGTGCAGTTTTACAACTGCATATAATGGAAATACAAGGTATTTTAAAGTACAACAAGTTTCACATACAACAGATACGCACGGTTATTCCTACCCAGTCGATGAATCCATAACGCCGAATTTCCAAGACGAACTTGCGAGTAACCGAATTCCTAATCCATTCATTCAGAGACAGTGAAGAGACTCTGAACACACGGATGACTAAAATTCATACATTTCGACAACACTTAGGTAAATCCAACGATTACTACCTTGATTATGGATCTTTGAAAACTCAGACAGATGTTTTATGCACGAATTTGGTAGGTATTGGCGCATCACAATGCCGGATTGGAAACGACTCATTCAAAAGAATCGAACTAATTCGGGGATATCTGAAGTAACATTGGCGTGGGCAGCAGGTAGTTTCTGGTGGCTAACAGGCCCGCGCTCGGTGGTCATTAGCACAATGATTCTAAATTACCACCGAAAAATCTGCTAAAATCTGTTGTCATTTGACTTACTGACAACAAATTAAACCATGTGTTTACTGGATTACAGCCTGACAGTCTATTCCTACTATGTTGACAGTAATAAACATTCTAATGACAACACATATGAACGAAATGCGGCATCTCATTTGCACTTTTGGGAAATGACGAACGAACCCAGGACCTTTGTGTTAAGGCGCTGGTGTTGATAATCTTTATTAAATCATACATGATACTTCTGGCAGACCGGTAGCGGTCATGTGTTTTTGTTAGCCCAGGTTTTTCCATCTAACTTGTACGGGCTCAAGGCAAGTTGATTGCATCTTATCTACAGTGTGTAGGTGTTAAATGGGTGGAAAAGTATAGACCAGCAGATCCGCGTGTCCCGATGCAAACCAGTCGTGAGAATTCATGAATTACAAATGAAAAGGATGGAGCCTCTATTGGCGATGGTACCATTGAAAGTTTTTTTCAGACGAACTTGCAACACAATAAACATAATGCTCTTCTTGATAGGAATGGCACGATCGTTTAATATATTCTAGAAGACTTCAAAAAAACAAAGTTAGCATTTTCCTCTCACCTTAGGTTCAAGGTCGTTTTCAACGAATCCTGGTAGTTCCGATGCTTGCGCGTTCTGGATACATAATATTCTCTCGTTGTTTGACCCTGCGGTAAAATCGATCTGTCTGCTGGCTGCTGTTCTTGAAGCTTCGGCGGTTTGCAAAACAGACTCCTTCAGCTTGTATGCAGCCATGAAGAGTATTATCACAGTGACTAAAACGGGGAGCGTGAAAGCCACACTTGTCCTCAGGATAAGAAAATTCACATCGGGACACGTACATATTCGCCCGTTTTCAAGTTGAGATGGTGGCTGTGGATCTCCGAGTAATACTTGTGCAGTAGTCTGTAGGAAGCTGACAATCCAAGGAGCTGCAAGCTTTAACTGTGTGGTTGCCGGATGCACGTTATTGATTCCGTACCACTTGGGCATTGATAGCCGAAGGTATGTATCCAAACTGGAACCTAAGTGATGCAGTTGGATTGCATGTGCGAAAACCGTTTCACCGTAAATCCAGATAATGCAGCCTCGATCAAATGATGTTGGTGGGGCTGAAATGGCAATTTCAGGCGGATAAAAAGTGAGTTTTGGAAACTACACAATATTTATTTGAACTTGGTCTATTTAGAGGAAGCACTATTCCCCACGTATCCATGTTTAGGCACAATACAATCCACATGTCCCAAGCATAGCAGCTACTGTGTACGCTTTCTGCAAAGTTATGCTCATTTTCACACGAACTCAAAAGCTACAAAGTGAGGACAGATTGGAATGACAAAGGCCTGTAAGAATTACGAAAGGAGCACAGCTGAAGAAAGACTTCAGAGTGTAAAGAATTTCGATTTTTTCTGCATACTTATTAGTTATCAGCTACGTAAAGGCTGTAAAGTTAACCAACCACCAATTACGCTGCGGTCTTAGGATAATGCGAAATACTTGGGTTATCGGCACATCGCGCATCCGTCACATATTTGGTACTTTGATACTCTGTTATCATCACGGTGGACACAAAATGTCAATAGAATCGGTGTCCAGCTATTTCACGGGTTAGCTGGCATTAATTTCGTTCCTGTGCGACCGTATTCACAGATGGTGCGCGAGATTACCTTATCAACCAGTCTGCCACTGTATCCATGTAATTGACCGCTCGAACTTCTGAGCAACTTCGCCAGATACTGTTATGCCGGCATATGAGAACGGGCGTGAATATGCACAGCCGACCTGTTTACCCATTAGTGTTCGAGCCCCGTCCGCTGGGTCTGCCCTGACTTGCTCTGTCGTGATTTTTGTGTGATCGATGTGTCAATCAGAATCAGGAGACTGGTATCGAAAGGGATGATCGCAACCAGAACAACCGTCCGAAGTTTTACTCGCCATTGTCTGGTGTGCGGAGCTTGACACTCCGCTGTGCCGGTCAGTTACAGATGTGCGAACGTATTGACACCAAAAAGTAAAAAGTGATGTTTATCCTAAGATTTGGCTCACGTTCGGTTAAACAATAGGGTAGACTTTCGAATTCACATCTTCATTTCGGTAATGACAGACATACGCGTCACTCAAAGTTCCATTTATGGTGAAGCCCAAAACAGTTGTTACTTTTTCCCCAATATATACCACCAATTTCAGTCGTTTAGATAACCAGATGAAAAAATCTATTTAGTTTGCCACTTTAGGTTCAAACAAAAGTGATGAAACAAGTTCATTTTGTAAGAAAGAATCCTCAGCAACCTTATCATTAGTGAATCACCCGTAGGCATGTATTGCGATATCTCGTGTATCATACCGAAACATGAGGCCACCTGGTGCAGGACACTAAGTTGTCTGGAAACATCACACACGAGAGATTCAGTTGGGTTACAGGTTACTCTCTCGCAAAACCGAATTTTTTTTCAAATAAGTGTATTTCGCCCATTTCGTGCACTTTTGTTTCAAATGGAACGTACTTTTGGTGGAAACTCGGAGAATGCGACTGCCTGATGTGCCTAAGGAAGGACGAAACCGGTCTTGTGCTGTCGACGAAATTTCAGCAAATGTATGAGTAGTACAATACTTAAACTTCAAATTCATTATGGCTTATGGCTTTCCATTCTACGTACAAATAGGTTACAAATGAATCAGAAGGCCCTTGTAATTACCATTTTTCTTGGTGAGCAGAGTGAACTAAATGAACACGGTAAGTTAAAAAGATTTTAGTAAATTCTATCTAAGTTACAAAGACATTTTTGCCAGGAGTAATTGCAAAAACACCTCTTGTCCGATAGCAAAACTCTACACCAGATGCACATCACCGTAGTTATAGGCATGATGTTTGAAAATTAGCTGTATAATCCAGAGAAAACTGGGGATACCGATACCTCAGGTTAATCCTAAACGACACCCAATGACACATCATTATGGCCGTAAGTAAAATGGTAAGTGATCCCGAAGAAACCTAATTTAAAATTTTGGTGCAGAGCAAGTATGTCTGTTAACTTGCCCTACATGCCATTGGTTGTGATATCGACTTTTTGGTTCACCAACCGATGATCATCTTTTATCGAGGAATCTGCTTTCCTCAATCCGCTAAGGCTGTTATTGGACTGGGACTTCCTAAGGTCGCAGTCAGTGACTTGTGTTTGCTTGCCATTGTGGGCTCTCTGCGTACTTATGACACTTTTATGGGTGGCACATGGCGTTGAAGGTACACGTTTGCAATTTAATCTCACACCAGACCCAGTATGATGGACACTTTGTGCCTGATGTGCGAGTCTTGACTGTGCTAGCGCACACTGCGCCTTGAAGAGCATTCACCATTGTTTGTTCTTTCTTTGGTTGTTGCTCTTTATAGGCGTGTTCCCACACCACAATCTTTACATACTTTGGGATTCACCTCATCAAACTGGCACTGTCCTTGGCATGATTTCGAATGAGACGTTCTTCTCTTTTCTCTCACATTCTCCTGTTAATCCTTCGCATTCATTGCTTGCATTCACTTTTTACGTTTGTGACCATGCTCTTCAAAAATAAATGATAATAGTGTGTCGAAGCCAACCGCGGGTTCACGTGTGCACATCCAACAAAATGGTCCGCCACCTCAAGCCGACTGGTGAAGACACTGACACTCAACAAAGCGAATGAAGCCATCAGCACCATAATGATACCTTACTTCGACGGAACATTAACTGTTTATGGAGGTCACCAGATCCGTCCGTTGAACGACTGCAACCTTATCTTACTCCCCTCAAACAAAATGACATCTGCGGGCACATTTTCTGATCAGAATCTGAAAGTTGGCACGCGAATTTCAGGCAAAGACGTGTTCCACTTTTAACTTCCAGTAAAATATAATGATGTAATTAGACAATACTGATCCCCAAGGGATCTGACACCACCCTGCCAACGTTTACACAGTTTTTGTGACCGCTTACTCATCAGATGTTCCGTGTTCATCTGTTTGTTTCCGAGGGACGAATTCCCCGGCGTCTTTTATTCTGAATTAGAAACAAGAAGACAACTTAAATACACACTTTTGTAGAATTCTTCGAACTGTAGGCTTCAAGAACGGCAGGTGTATTTATGTGGGCTACAACTAAACGAAATTGAAGTAAGGTCAAAGTGACGTGTGTTTCACTTATTGAAAATGAAGCGACATGTGGTTCATGTGAGTAGTCTTTTTATGCTGGTGATGTAGCAACACATGACCTTGATTTTCCACTACAGCATTCCAGTCAGAATGAATTGTTGGAGGGGGTTGCTGTAAAGCCATGATTGTCCCCACTTTTACTTTGCTTTTTGTGGATACATTTGTTAAAGTCAGCGTTATTGTTATGTGGCCACAGACGGCGAGCATTTAGTGGAAACATTTTCATAGAATTATTAGAACCGTAGAAAAATAGAGTACTGTTGATCAGATCTCTTGCATGCAACTGATTTTATTAGGCAGAACACATATTCAACTAAAATACTGATGTTTGTTGAAGTCCCTTCTAAGGAACATTGTACCTGCTCTTATTTTCAAGTTTGTTATTAGGATATGCAAATGGATTCTCAGTTGACTTTAGTGCACCTTTGATTCTTGATTTATTCTGACTATTAAGCGCTGCGCGCATTTTGTGTTTTCCTTTATCCTTGTTTTCAAATTTGCATGCATGGCAGAGGCAAATTAAATTTATCACCGAATTCGAGGTTTGTGGCTTATTGAATTTGTTGACTTCATCTCAGTACTGTTGTATGAATTCATTCGCTACATGAGGTAGAAAGTGTGCAGAGATGGATGAAACCCGGCAAGAGGTACAAAATACCCCCATGGAAAGTAATTTGAACTCAAGTTTGGAGAGAACCTGGGGGTTTAATTCGTGAGTCTTTTGCGGTAAGTGAATTCTGCCGAACACAAGTTTCCGCGACAGCTCACTTACACTCCATTGTATCAGTTGCGAAACCGTTGGATACTGAGCTCAGTTATCGTCTATATGCATTATTTTCAGGTATCACTAAACGGTATATAACTGAATACTCGCAGTCGCTTTGCTTCCAAAAGTGAACTACAAGACGGGCCGTTACGCCCATTAGACAGTCCGGATTGTCCTAAGATAGCAAAATAAACATTTCAATCGATTCACTCAATGTAACCTATCAGCTCCGATTGAACCAATGCGTCTCACAGTACAGACGTACGATTCTTCCCGTGTAACTTGCGAGCAAAAGTTCAGCGAAAGCAGAATACTCTGTAGCGTTCAAATGCTCCTAACAGATTGGTGCTCCTTCTGACTGTTTGATATATTGACCAACTCACGATGCAAATATAGTTTCTATCAAGCGCTGCCTTCAGTGTGGCACATTATTGGATTCCTTATGAGTGTGGTTGGACAATGCAAAACCTTCCGAAGTGTTACTCTAATCTTTTGATCTTCATAAACATTTAAGCTGATGTTGTTCAAATATCCTTATCCGATCGATACACCCTTCATAACATGGAGAATGGAACACTTCTGTTTTATGGGTCTGGACGAAGTGGTTGGTCGATTAAAGTTATACGCGGAAACCCAAGTGGCCTATCATGGGAATGGGTTTGTAGCCCATTCGTATTCCTTTTTTATCGCCTAATGGTGAATTTATTCAAGGTGAATAAAAATTGGTCTAATGGAAGTCGATAGGCAGGCAGATATCACCACAAACAACCAAATAACGAGGCATAGAATCAGGTGGACCGAAAGACACATAGGTGGGCAAACAGGCGATGATAAAATAAATGCACGAAAAGACGGACATACGAGTGATCCCATAGTATGGTGTGGAAAATATAGGCTACATGCTTACCACCAGTTCCAGCAAGCTCATCGCAATAATGAAACGGAACTACATGTAACTGACTGTGCACTGCTTTCTGAGTTTTGTGAACAAGTGTCTGACGTGAACCGGCAGTCGGAGTTATAAGTGAAGACAAAGATAAATTAGGTTGAGGAAATGTTGGTCGATACTTATTGACTGGTTGGTTGAACTGCAGTTAACTTCCCACGTGTTACTTCTGATCGTAGGGACTTTAGCGTGAGGTTGATGGTTTGAAGATGATGAT